TCTATACAAAGGTATTGTTCTTCTCCCAATGCAATTTAAAAACTCAGGTTCCTCCCATCCCAATAATCCCACCCAAGAGGATCAAGGATATTCTCACTTACCATCCGCGTGACTACAACCTCCTCCTACTGTTTGGTGGTGGAGGTGCTCTGCTACTATTGCAAACCTCACGCATCTGACTCAGTTTAGCTAATAAACTATGTGCGCTCTAATTCATTGTAAGTTGCTAGCTGTTAAAGCTGAGCAGTAACTGATATGTTTTTGACAATTGGCTTCAGTGAAGTAGTAATACTATACCTTAGATGAAGATAGCAAAAGATAAAACCATGATTGCTATTGAAGCCGAATATTTGCCTTGAACTTTTACCAGGTTATCCCGCTTTAAGTGGATAACGTGTGTTAAGTGAATTCATTTACTGCAACCTGGAGTTTTCATTTTTAAATTTCTCTATTTGGGATCTTTGCATCTCCCTTGGGCACTTCCCAAATATGTTTGTCTCCAAGGCACAATGATCTTGCTCAATGCTTTTTTTGGTTGCCTGTCCGAGATCGTTGTGTCTTTGAAGTGTCTCAAGTGCGTGAAGTGAATTTGTCAGTTATGTTTTATGTTTCTTTTTTAATTTTTGGAGATTAAAAGTATACAGATTTTTGTGTATATGTACAGGAGAGCATATACACACTTGTCTATTGGAAACAGCCTCTCTGCCCTATTGGGTAGGGGTACACACTACCTTCCCCAGACCCCACTTTGTGGGATTTTACTGGGTCGTTGTTGTTGTACAGGAGAGCATCGAAAATTGCTGTGAATGTACTAAGTGAGATAATGGCATAACTTTGTATAGTGCATATATAAGATTCTTGTTTTGGCATATATGTTTAGGTGTTCTCTTTAGATATTTGTACGTTAAAGGAAATAAATAATCCCAATAGAAACAGTGTATTTGATGTGTCATCGGTGTGTTTTGTATGCCATACTATCTTTTGAAATAGTCATCATGTCCCTGTCATGTGAACATGTGCTTCTGTGTAAGCTTCAGACTTCCTTTTTGGATTTTGTCTGTTTGCATTTTGATAAAACCCTCGGTTGAACTTTCAGTTGCCTGATGTGCCAATACTGTTTACTCCATCAGGTTCTCTTTCAGCATAATGCAAATCTCTATGCAGCAAATGGTGCTGGTGTTGTTTTGGCAGAAAAAGGCCAATTTGACATTTCAAAGGATCTTTTCACACAGGTCCGTTAACTTTTTCTACTTCTACCCAGTCGAGGCAAAACTTCAAGTTTATGTAGTGTCTGCTGAACATTCTTCCTTATAGGTTCAAGAAGCTGCCAGTGGAAATGTTTTTGTCCAAATGCCTGATGTGTGGATTAATCTTGCACATGTTCACTTTGCTCAAGGGAACTTCGCATTGGCTGTGAAAATGGTATGTTCTTATTCTCTCTTCATTTTTAGCTATTTCTCATGTTTGATACTTCCGCATCGCTGAATGTGTTGATGGGCTTGTATCTTGCAGTATGAAAATTGTTTGCGGAAATTTTATCATAATACCGACAGTCAAGTGCTCCTCTATTTAGCAAGAACACATTATGAAGCTGAACAGTGGCAAGATTGTAAAAAGACTTTATTAAGAGCCATCCACTTAGCACCTTCAAATTATACATTGAGATTTGACAGTGGAGTAGCACTACAGAAATTTTCAGCCTCAACGTTACAAAAGACTAAGCGGACTGTGGATGAGGTACTTTGAGATGAGCTTCTCCCTTCTTCCTCTCCTTCCTCCATCCTCCCCGTGGTCAAACTGAAATGAATGAATTTCTTTGATTAGTCCCTGTTAACTGCTCTTCCTTGGTCACATTCTTAAATATTTATCATATGTTGTGATGATTTTGTAAATTTTCTTGATAAATAACGTTTTTCCTTTTAGCTGCGAAGATTTCATGATTTTCTAGATATGATGCAAGTCCATCATGTTGTGCGTATGATAACTGCTCAACAGGCTTTNATGAAGCATCTACTACATGGACATATCAAGCGCAAAGAAAAAATAGAGCCTAGCTGAATGCCCGGAAGAAGATCTGTGACAGCTGAATCTGGATTAAACCCAAGCTGTTAAAGTTATATTTGGAGAACCAAGAAGGCGGACTTTTTCAAGTCAGGTTACCTGTGCCTGGTTGGAGAATGGTGATCACTGTAGTCGTATATGTCCAACTGGTTGTCTTTGGGAAATATAGTTGATCTCTGCCAGGATCATCTTGGCACCTAGATTCTCATATATTGATACTTTGACTATACCTTTCTTTGGCTGGGGATTAATGTTTAAAACTTCAAAATTCATCAGGGTAGCTGCAGATTGTCTCGTTTGACTGTGTATCTGAACATAAGTAACATGGCTTCCCTCTTTGTTTGGGATGCGCGGATGGGGTGGTAGTGTGTTTTTGTGTGTGTGTGTGTGTGGGGGGG